CAAGTTGCATATCTCGGTCTTTTTTCATCTTTTTACCATTAAATTTAAAAGAAAAAAATCGTTCATCCTTCTAGAAAGTTCATTGGCTGAGATTATGTCCTGTACACGTGATCTACATAATGACATAATTATGTTCATAAACCAAAAATCTTTCTTTCAAAGGAAAATAACGGAATGCTGGATGCTTTTACTTTATCTGGTTAAATGTATTAGATAATCAATGATTTTGATTGTTTAAAAAGAGATGAGGCGCTCTTTATACTATTATAATAACCAAATTAATATAATAAGTTTTTTAATGGTTTAGGGAAAAACGGGTCAAACCTTGATTCTTCTTTTGGTAATGATAAAAAGTTCAATTGTTAAAAAGAAAGGGGAGAATACATAAAGGATTTCTTTTTGGATAAATTAATCCTCTATTTTTTTTAATAAAACTAGTTTTTTTTACATTGTTTTAAATACTTTTACAAATAGTCATAACCTGAATGAAAAGAAAGCTAACCTAATTTGTGCTTAATTTAATTTAAAGTTAAAAATAAATTTTGGGTTTTTTAAAATTGCTTCTAAAAATATCAAAATTTATAATAGGTTATAATAAATACTAAAAGCAATATATCTAAGATTAAAAGAACATTTCTCAATATATCCAATATATATATATAAATATAAATATCAGCTATTTGTAACCTTTTACCTTTTACACTTGGAATTTTTAAATTTTCAAAGATAAGGAATTTTACAATTCATTAATAATAATTTCAAAGCATAGTCATGTAAATTTAAGAGTTACTAAAAAATAATGTAATTTTTTTTTTTTTTTATTTAAAATAATAGTAAATTTAATATATATGTGTAGATTTTATGATATTAATTAAATATCTAAATAGAGAAATTACAAATGGTTTCTTGATAATTTTTTTTTTTTTACTTTCTTTTTTTTTTTTTCTTTTTTTTTTTTACACAAATTTAAATACAAAACGCTACGCGTAGCATAGTAATTGATTGTTAATGATTAAAAAAAGATCTATTGATTGAATCTTTTATATCTATTTTACAGACATTTGTAATATCTTACAACATCACACTTCATTATCATTTAAACCAAAAGAGCTTTTACATGACGACACCTAAATAAAAAATTTTTTCTTTAACCGTGTACGCTCAAAATATATTCCATCACCAGAATCATTTGATACTCACATTTTGATTTCTTCTTTCTAACAGGGTTAGGTGAAAGAACCGCACGAATAGCTTCATCAAAAACATTCTTTAATCCTTTTTGTGTTAAGGCAGAACATTCAAGATAACGCACGGCACAGATATCTTTGGCCATTTGTAAACCTTCGGGATATGTGATTGGTGTTTGAGATTTCAATCGTAATTTAGCAATGGTATCTTTATCTTCACGAAGATCCAACTTTGTTCCAACCAGAATAATTGGTATATTTGGAGCGTGATGAGAAATTTCTGGATACCACTATAGAAGAAAAGAAATATAATTATAGTAATAAAAATAAGAAGTAAGGATTTCGTTACTTCATCGCATTAAGTTTCTGTTTCTTACCTTATTTTTAACATTTTCTAAGGAAGGTGGACTGACCAATGAAAAGCATATCAAAAATACATCAGTTTGTGGATATGAAAGCGGACGTAACCTATCATAATCCTCTTGTCCCGCAGTATCCCAAAGTCCTAAATTAATCGGTTTTCCATCAACCATAATATTCGCTGAATAATTGTCAAATCTATTTATCCCCAAAAAATTAATTTTTAATACTACAATTTTGGAAATAAAACAAAAAAGAAAAAGAAAAAGTACTGGGTACTTTACACAGTTGGGATGTATTCGCCAGGGAAAGCATTTGTAGTATAACTTATAAGAAGACATGTTTTACCGACAGCTCTAAATTAAAAAAAAAAGGATTAATTTCTTTTGTTCCTATAAATTTCTGAAATAATATTACTCTTAAATATATTCTAAATGTAATTATCACTATTTTAAAGATTGACATAAGAATTTGGAACGATCGTTGTAAGTGCTAGCTTCATACCGATTTAACAAGATAATTTAACATATTACATATTTTTTTAAATTACTTTGACATATTTTCTCGGTCACCTTTCTCTTTAATAAAGTTATTTTTAAACAAAAAGTAGAAATCACCAAAAAAAAAAAAACTAAAAATAAAAAATAAAAGAAAAAGTAATATTTACCCGTCACCCACGACAACGCATTTAATAGATTGCATTTCAAAAAATTAAATTTTTTTTGTTTTACAAATGAAAAAAAAAAAATTATAATAAAAGAGTATGTGAATAATTTTTTTTTTATTTGAAAGAGAAGAAAAATTTAAGAAAATTTTTTTTTGTAAAAAATCCATTCATATTTATTTCGGACAAACTAAGTAAAAATAATGGTGTAGATTACATGCGAAATTTAAACACAATTTAAGTGAGTACAACATTAAAATGTAAATCCAATAACGGAGAAATCGGAGAATTAACTTGTTAACAAAGAAATTTCAAAATATTAATTAAATGACTTTGTTTAAATTTTTTTTTATGTCGCTTGTTTGATATTTTCAGTGATCTGAAGAATAATAGGATTTAATGAATTTAATATGTAATTTACCATTTAAGTGAATCCAATTTTCCCATTTAAGTTTACTTGAGAATAAAGAATGATTTCCATTTTTACTTTGATTTTCCATGTAGTTAACATTTAGTGTTGTTATAATTACGTTGATAATGTTGATTTATTTTGTATGAGTTTTTAAAACATGAAAGTCAATAGAAAAAGAAATTTAATTTGGAGTAATTTTGTGATGATTACAAAGAGATGATTTTAATCATCTACAGCAGAGAGATTGCTGTGGCGGGAAAAGGTTAAAAATTTCCGCAATCCAATTAGTAAATACGCGTCAATTAATCAAAATTTTGAAAATTTTGGGTAGAGGGGAATACATTAATAGAAATCTCTCACAGTCATGAGATAACCAATTAAACTCATGATGTAAACGCGATTATTCGCTCATTTTATCTCCAGGATTTATATTAATACAGCTAGCTTGAATTACCTATTGCCCCTTGTATTGTATCAATGTAAGGAGTTGTGAACCCGTTACATCAACCTTATATTTTGAGAACGAACGATTTGCTGTCAGATGGTCATTGGTTGATTATCACCTGATGCACATGTATTATTTAAGTAGTATTAGAAAAAATATTTTTTGCAATTTCGTTCGTTACCGATCTACACGTGCAAGAATTGGATTTGGCATAATGACTTTTATCAAAGCTTCCAATATTTCGCGTATCCACATACACAACATGTGATCCATATTCTACTACAAACGCGGCACATCACGCCATAAAAAAAAAGATTATCATTCACAGTTGTACATATATTTTTTTTTCGTTTTATTGTAATAATCGGAATATAACATCAACATTATTATATATAAACAATTACATGTACTTTTTTTTTATAGAAAATGATTATTAGCAATCATTATCTGTTATTAACTTGCTCGTTTTGTTGAAGTTATAACCACATTTGTAAGGTTTATGCAAGATACCCAGTTCGTGATTTCGGTTAGCGGTTTATTACGGTCGCCCATGACTGATTATGATTGAACGATGTATTGTATCGTGATATAATAATGCGGTTTTTAACTGCGAATTTATAACATATCAGAAACCTTGTAAGAAACCCAGAAAACAAGGAATGCCTCCAAAAGCAGGCAAAATGTTTACTGATGATAATCTTTTCATAAGAGCTTTTTTAGCTAATTTTATTCTTTGACTTTTTATTTATTTACGCATCTGTAATTGATTGCACTGATATGTGACATCTCTGTAAAGAACAAAAGGTACTGATTATCAACGAAAAAATGGACTGACACTATATAATGAAGCAAATTGTTTCCCATTACTTTAAAAAGTATTATTTCTTACTGGTAAATTCACGACATGTGGAGAGTACACGTGACATCCCTAAACGAATCATTTCAATGTAAATTTATTACACTTCATTGCTCAATAGTAAGTAACCAGTTGTCAAGGAGAACTTCAAAGTGTCCAATATAATTTGTTCGAACAAAAATTATTGTCCCATTAATGATAAGAACTTGTATCATTTCCTAAAAATGGAACCAGAAAGCAAATAGAGAAAAACTTGTATTGGATTAAAAACGTCATGTGATTTCGTCATTTCTTTTTTTTTTTCAAAAAAAAAGTTATTAACGATGGAAAATCTTCAACCATTTTTGGAAGAAGACATTTAAATTCGAAAAGATATATTCGAAGCAATAATTTTCAAATCATATTTGAAAATCACGTGTGGCAAAAAAAATTTACTTTGTCGGCCATTATTATTAAAATTACCTTTTTTGATGCAATTAAACTTGTGCATGGAAATGTGACCAAATTAAAATTTTCTCAACCAATTTATTTTCAAAGTGCAAGTTTGATCATCTGATTTATCATTTTTAAAAAAAATGTTTTTTTTCTTACAACCCTTACTAATACCATATCGGCAATATTTGTTTCCGGTGAAGTAATTAGGACATAGTATAGAAAACAATTTGGATTTCATATAGGGATAATCTCAAAATATTTACAAACTAATTAAGACAGAGCGACAACAATCGTAGAGAAAAAATTTTTATTCATTAGAAAATAAAATAAAAAAAATACAAAAGTTTCGAACCCTTACGATGGGCGAAACTCTGAGCGGATTTTGATAAAAATTGTTTCGCAAACTATCAAAAAGTCAATAACCTAATGCATTCAGAATTCTAGAACACCATTGAAAGAATAAATAATCAAACCTCAAAATCTCGAAGCCAATCATAAATTATTATAAATTCGTGTAACACTTAATAAATTTGCGTGTAGCACACGTGATGATTCACGACCTAAATTTATATTAGCATATAAATGAGTTTTTTGTTTAAAAAAAGCTTCTTTTCCCATTACAATAATTTTTTATTTTAATTATGATAAAATTTTTTAAAAATAAAAAGCAATTGGAATCAACATCCATCCCAGAAGACACTACTTCAACTCCAATATCGATTCCTCCCAATGATAAATTACCAAAAGAAGAATTTGTAAAACTTCCGCTTGATGAATTGACTGTGTATAAAGAAGCGTTAAATTATGTTGTAGCTCGTACATCACCGAATTCAGTTAATGATATCGAAATACTTTATCCTATTAATGTACCAAAAGAATTTGTCAATCACCCAGAATCGGAAAAGATAGAAATTATTAAAGACCATCAAATCACAAATATAAACGAATTAAGTGGGGAGGAAGAAGCAATTTTACATGCAATATATTCAAAACAAGTCATAAGACAAGAAGATTCTCCATTGTATCATTGTTTACTTAGACAAGTATATAATGATTTTATAATAGGAGAAGCGAAACGTATTTCTTTGGTAGGGGAACCATTGATCATTATTCACACCCTTCAAATGGAAACTGAATTACGTAGAACGGGCACATTTAGTAATACTTGGCATTTTGGTTTTGAAGGGAGAGATTATAGATGGAAACCAACCTTATTTGGTTCAAAGGATTCTGATTTAATTTGTGAATTAATCGAATATGATTTATCTTTAGTTGGTAGTGGAATTGGGAAAAAGAAGAAAAAAGAGGTTATTGCTAGTTTGAAGAGAAAACATGAGGATTGGAATATGATAGGTGATTTATGTATTTTGAAAAATGCTTGGCGGGATGTTCGAGATCACCGTTCTCTGGAAATCGTTTTGGTTCTTTGTTGTTTAATCATGTTAGATATCATTGAATCCTAACTTGACATAATTTTTTTTTAAAATTTATAAATACATCTCTTTTGTCCTTTACTTTTAACTTTAATTTATTTATTTATTTATTTTAAAGTGTACAATGTATAAATATAAAGATCTATTGAGACATGTTTTCTATTGACAACACGACTCTTTTCCGCCTAATAATTGAATAAGTGAAATGGTTTTTTATAATATTTTACAAGGAATTTTTTTTTGTTTTAAAAATTCTATATACATTTTGCTAAAATTGAAAACGGAAACTTTTCTTGTATATTTAAATGTGTGTCATTGGTTTATAACGAGGACGAGTCAACACTTGAGCTTTGCTGATCAGAATATTCTGTGTGGCATTATTTTTTATAACAGCGGGGAAATAACAAATTTCAACCTCTTGATTTGATGAATCGGTCTTATTCCAAGCGCCTTTCATTTTGTATTCATCAACTTCTGAACATTGTTTATAAAAAATCAATTCTGATTGAGGATCTAAAGATTTTAATTTGAAATAAACAAGAGAAATAAATTCCAAGATAATTTGTTTCGCTTCTTCTTTAACTTGCGATAATTCTGTCGATGAGTATGCATGATATGCTTCCATGAATTTTATGAACTGTGACACCAATGAAGTAATAAATGGATGTGTCCCATCTCCAGATTTTGAAAAGGAGAAGGTGCTTAGTGAGGAATAGATTAAAGAACGAAGTTCGTTGCATGTTTTCTTGAGAGATTTGTCTCCGTTGGTACGAGCATTTGCAAATCTATTTAGTAATTCGACTAATTTTTCGGTGGTTTCAACTAGGTCCAATTCAAGATTGTCGTCATCATAATCTTCTCCAAAGTATGAGTTCTTTTCCGTTTCTGCAAAGTAACCTTTAACTTCTTCTTGAAGTGTTGATAACAACCTTTTTTCCATTGCTGCGGCCAAATGTATCTTTGATGACTTGGAATTATTCTGGAATGATTCCAATTGATATAATTCCAATAAAGATTTCGCTTCTTTGGTATCCACTTCACCCGATACGCTCGTGAATTTATGGAACAATCGTTGTAAATTCTTGAATTCTCCTTTGATTTCTTTAGTTTCGTCCGTGTCGATCATGTTCTCCACGCCATTCACGGTTTGATAATCTCTAAACTGGTTGTCGTAAATCTTAATTCTTTGACGAAGTCTATTAATTTCTTTTTCCTGCTTCTTTATTAGTTCCGTGTAAGAATCTTCATCTCTTTCGGTATCCATTCCACTACTATCACTATCATCCAAGCTTTCCTTCGATAAATTGATGTTGATGAAACGTTTATGAGCATGGTTGCTTGATTCTCCATGAACTTTGCCATTTTTTTGTTTTCGATGTTGATCAATATTTAAAGATAATTTGTCTTGTTCGGTTCTTAATCTATTCATTTGGCTTTGTAGGATAACCAATTCCGTTTTCAATCCATCATCATCGTGTCGTTTAATGGGTTTTAAAGATGATGATTCATTTACTACTTCCATGACATTATGACTTTCATCTTCTAAATCGTCCGGTGGTAATACACCGTCAATTTCAAGTTCAGCTTGAATTGAATTTATAAGTTGAGCTGCTCTGGTGCTTATAAATTCATTAGGGATTGGAGTAACGTCACTTGGCGGATTCTTTTTTTGCAGACTGCTTATCAAATCATTTAATCCGCTATTCACCAATCGTATGGTTTCTACCGATTCTTTACGTTGTTCTGTCAGGAGTTCTACTAACATTTTTAAACGATTACATTCCTCTTCATATGCCAGTTTGGTTTCCTTACGGGTTCTAAGCGAATTCATTTCATGAATTCGTCTTTTAAAGATTTCTTCAAACATTTTTTTTAAATTATTTTGGAGGGAATTTTACGAGGTGGGTATGCGTTATTGTTGTTTGTTTGTTTGTTTGTTTTTGTAATATATATTGCGGGGAATGATAATTTTTGAAAAAAACGAGAGCCTTTTTTTAATTTAAAAAAAGGTGAGCAAAATTGAAATGAATGAAAAAAAAAAGTTGGGGATATATATGGCGCAATACCCTAAACTTTCAATCTATATAAAATATTAAAATATTTTATTTTTAAACGGACGATGAATGCATATGTATATAAAAAAAAAATTTATGCATACATAATCTAAATTATTTTTTTTTTTTTTATTGCTCGTGAAAATTACATTTTTTTTTTTTTACGCATTAGAATTTTCTTTGTTTTATTATAGAGAGAACAATATAATTCATACTTGATTTTTTACAACCTAGACTTTCTTGCTACGATTAATTATAGGTTAAAGAAAAAAAAAAATTATTTCAACAAAACCTATTTTAGAAATATTAACAATTGTGAATGATGATTTTATTTTATTTTATTTTGACGCGATACTTTTCTATTCCAATTTTAGCGTTTGAGTGATCCAATGCGGGGATAAAATTTACCCTTAAAAAAATTTAAGGTTTCAATATTGATAATCGGAATAGAACAATGAACTTTACACATTTAGAAATCTCAGAAACGTCAAAAAGGCTACAAGTTAACTTTTTCTTCTGTGCTTAACAATAATTTTAGGCTTTTTATGGTCACAAATCACTTGATAAATTGCAACCCTTTTACCGTAATAGGGATTTCATAAAAAAATAAATTTTTCTATTGTTCTATCTTACAGATCATATTCTTGATTTAATCCTGATTTACAAAAAATACATGAAGTTTTATCGATTGTACTTTGCACATGAATAATGCTATATGGGGTTAGTTTAAGAAGGAAAAAAAAATACGCCCAGATGCGGAGTAACTTTTGTTGACATTGAATTTTTATGTTGATCATAATCATAGTAGATTTTTATAATTTTTTACGCGAGATTTTTCCATCAAATCCATAATATCCCTTCGTACAGTATGTTTATGTACTCGACAATTGTTATTGAATGTCCGTTTAGCGCGCTTATGAATTGAAATGACTTTATTGTATGATTATAACGTAAAATCTAGTAGACATTGAAATCGGTCGACAATGTCAAAGCTGCTACCTAAATTGGTTAATTAACCCTTTAATCTATGTACTATTTATTGATTATTAATAACAAATCTTTTTTCGTTCTTATTGTTTGGGTAATTCATTAATATATTTATAGAAAGATTATAATTAACGATCTAAACCAATAAATAAAGATTTCTTCAACACGACGCTTTAATTACTAGACAGAATCCAAAAATTCTACTTTTTTTTTAACAAAAAAAAATAGAGCATTTAATACTGCTTCAATACCTTCGATTGTGTTAGCTTTGTCCCGTTTTTGATTGGCCATTTTTTTATGTGAATGATATAAGAAATAAAATTAAATACTGTAACCAGTAATCATAAATGGTAAATAACTTCTAAAGTAAATGATTTCTTATAGGTCTTCATTGAAAAAATTATTTTAGCAAAGCTGTAAGGTGGGTCTCACGGCAGCACCTTTTGCTTTTATTTTATGACACTTGCATGATTGCATGAATTTCAACATTGTTTCCTTTTTGAAATGATCTAATTTGATAAAATATAAAAAAAAATTTTTAATTTAACTTTAATAAACATATCTCTCGTTCACAATCTTCCAAAGACGCTCGAAATTGTAAAGTTAAATTCTAGATAAGTGCAAAATTTGAACGTTTGTCATTTTCCCCTTCACTTCATGCCTTTGATCAATAAGGTGTCGCCGAATTTTCTAAACACTAAAACTGCTCAAAAAATATTTTCTTTACGATCACTGTAACTGTCGTGTTTTTTTCCTTAAATTTTTTCAAATCTTCCCTAGGGGAAAGAATGATTTAGTATTTGTTGGTCATCTTGAAACGTTTTTTTCATAAGGTGATCGAGTTAAAATAATTCGTCCTATTGTGTCATTTTTTCGTAATAAAATTCCGTCTTTTCTATCTTGATTATCCTTTTGAATTTCTCGTGTAATATAAAATGGCAATGAATAAAAATTCATAATTAAAGTTTATTATTTTTTTTTCTTGAATATTTTTCTCTTGATTAATTTTAATATGTCACGCGAAATAATAGGATTTATAAAAACCTCAAGTGATAATAATTTAAATAAAGATGTTTTCTGAAATTGGAAAATCAAAACTAATAATTGCGATGAAACATATCAAATTGCAATTTACAATTCTGGAAACGAGAAAAAAATTTATTTTTTTTAATCATTTCAAAAAAAAATAATAATAATACATAGGTAATATTGATAACATAATTAAAGGATTTTCTTTAGCTAAAGAACTTAAATACAAATAGTGGGATACCACATAATATAATTTATATTATATGTGATATCCCATTTATCCTATTTAGATTATAGTATCACATCTAAATAACACATATGGGGCCTTTGCAATAGAAAGGGGGGAAACAGCCGAAAAAATCAAAAGTGAGTTAATGCTAAATTTGAACATATTTCAGCATAAAAATCATATTTGGCATATAAAGTAAAATTAATTTTTCCCAGCTGTTTCCCCCCTTTCTATTGCAAAGGCCCCATATAATCTAAAGTATATAATCTAATACCACATATATTCTATTTGCTTTTCTATATTATGTAATCTTTTTTTTCATTCTAGCTAAGTCTTTAGGTTTTTTCTGCTATTCATATTTTTATGTTAATATAGTTTAATTACTATACATATAATCTAAATATCACACTTTTCTTCTTGTTTATGAGTTATTTACATGCCAAATTCTATATTAGTTTGTTGACCTTTTGTAACAGTTTAGATACTTAGTTTTATGTTGAAGATGCTGATCTCCTACATCTGAATGGGTTCTCAATTTTATATTGAGGTACTTACCCTTTACGCCTATTTGATTACTTGTTAAAATACTAAATTATAGTAAAAAAAATGTTAGTGACATAGTAAATTCACTATTAATTTCAGTAAACACTATGGCATAATCTTATCTAATTTTAGAATACATAAATTGAGGATTCAACTCAACATCATGCTTAAAGATGGACACCATAATTAAGACACTAGTCGAAATCATTTCATTCGGCATTAATACCATTCGGTTAACATTCAGCCGATTCGGTCATGTGATTTAGCAAAATTCGGCTTAAGTTACAAAAATTGATAGTCATTTGTTACATCACACATAATTTAGCACTATTTCGGTATTAGACCTTTTGGTAAACATTCAGCCACTTCGGTTATGTGATTCAGCAAAAATTTGGCTTAAGTTACAAAAATCGATAGTAATTTGTTACATCACACATAATTTA